GTCCCATTCCTCAAGTCGGTCTTCATATGCAGCAGTAGCAGTAGTAGCAGTAGTTGCATCAATGTCTTTCACCGGTTGGGTCACATCCCCGGCGATAATTTGCCAGAGCTTCTTTCCTTTGAGGAAGGAAGACATGGCTTGGGCCCACAGAACATAGTTATAACCATTCAAAATAACGGAAATGGGATGGAAGGCATCATGACGATCCATAATAATAGGTGAATAGGGCGAAATAAATAGGAGCAGACCTGTAGGAACAAAATTAGGTAAAACAGAGTGTACCAGTGAGTCCGAAAGGTCGAAAATAACTAGGAAAGGTGTGCTGTGCAGAGATGACGTCAACAGAGGCTAAAAATGATGTCAGCTGCGCACGTTAGCAAAGTGCAGTGAGGGACACGTTAGCAGAAGGAGCGCGGCGCATGGGAGCAAGTTTGGCGCACGCGGGTGCACAATAGTGGAGCGGCGCACGTGAGGCGCACAATAGCAGGCGCGGCGCACCCAAGAAGCAAGGCTGACGTTAGACGCGGACGTGTGGGCACGTGTGGGCGCGTGGTAGACGTGAGCAGCAACAGATGGCGCGTGTGAGAGTAGTGGCGGAAGTGGTGGCGCACCGAGGACAAATGCGGCGCGTGTGGGCGCGTGGAAGTGTTTCTGAGGACGGGCGTGGTGCCGTTGGAATCGTGAGGAGATTCCGAGTTGTTTGGTGTAGTGCCACTGTGTACAGGACTAAGTACCAAAAACCAAGATTGCCAGAAATGTATAGCTGGGCTCTGATACCATGATAGTTTTATAGAGAGAGAGAGAAAAAGGAGAGACTGAATGAATGTATGTTGTATTCAATTGTCTGAATTAGTTACAAGAGTGATGCTTATTTATAGAGGAAGCACCGAAAGGAGAAGACAAAAGTTATGTGCAATGATGAAAGTGTGTGAGTGGTGTTTGGACTTTACAGCATACAACAGCATTGGTGTTTGGACTTTACAGCATACAACATCATACAATGTGTGTATAATATATATTAACCTATTTAGTGTATGTTATATATTAACAATGTAAAACTAGACTATATGAATCCAAAATGTGAGTTTACACAATCAATGTCTAAATCTATCTCCTCCTAAAGATTTTTCCCCTGGCAAATACATCCATGTTTATCAATGGTATTCATATTTGGTGTCTGACATTATAAAATTATCTTGATTGTCTAATTTCTTGCCAGAGAGAACCATGAAAAGACGAAAAGTTATAAGATCTTTGTACTACCTTTTCAGACACCAAAGTAATATGAGTTAAACTTATTTCCAACATATGAAAAGATGTATAGGTACTCAATGACACCTCCATCAAAACTGTAAAATGGGAAGGGGAAATAAAGAGAAGATCTGAGCAAGCAAACTCTATAAAGTTTAATTGAAAGAAAAAGCATTCAAAACATAACAAAATTTGTTCATTTCCCATTTGTTCCTAAAATGCCAAAACAGTTGTGTCCCAAGAGATTTGTCCCCCTTAAAATAATCGCCATGGTGGCTATGAAAATTAGGAATGTATAGGATACCTTTGATAGGTTGTGAATCCAGCTTATCGAAATACATATTTATACTCTCTCCAAATAATAAAAAAAAAACACTTCAGGAAGATATGCTGCATACTAACTACTGGATTTGGGGTATCATAATGTACTGAGCATGGATATTCTGGGACTTAAAACACAGAACATTGAAAGAAATGAAGGTATTCAATGACTCTTCCAAAACCAGAAAAAATAGAAGAGAAAATATAGAGAAAATGAAGCATTGAAGGTTGATAGACCAGTCACTAAAGCAGAGCAAAATTAGTATTTTTCTTTTTCTTGTGATAGCACAAAATCAAATGCAAGCCAGAGTTCCTGTGACAAGTTTCTTAATACATGTCACAGTAGCCTTTGTTCACCAGGATGTTGCAGCAGTTTGAATTCCAGTACCACTGGTTTAGTTTGGTGAAACAGAGTAACAGTGGCAGTGGTAGAATCTTCCTATGGAACTAGACCATATGATAGGCATTTCCTCCGTACAACATATAATGATAATCCATATCACTAAAAAATATTAGTTCACTGTAGTAAGAATCGAACCTGGGCATCACGCGTGGTAAGGGAGCTCCTCATCCACCAGGCCAACCCCTTGGTCTTGAAATGTTGTTTGTTGGTTGAATATGAAACTTAAAATTCAAGCTCCATTAACATTGTTATAACAGTCAACATAATTTTGAGGCATCTCTATGAAGATAACTTGAAAGCAAGTGTTTTTTCATTGCGCTGGTGCCAGTACAAATCTAAGTTAGTGCCCGTTTAAGGTGAACCATCTCTGATAAATCTCCTAGCGCCAACATTACTAGATGTTGAAATAACATGCATTAATTAACTCAATCAAGTGTAACTACAGCAACATCTCTGAGGTATGCTTTCCTGCAGCTTGCAGGGCTGAACCACATCTAATAGGAATGTCAATCAGATGAATAGAGTCAATAATGGATTCATGGGAGGCCAAACATAGAGACAGTAGTTGATCATTCTGACATAAAAACACTGGTGTTGAGTATTCCAAAACATTTTTGCACCAATGAATTGTCAAAAACAGAAAAAAGAGTTCTCTTTGTCGAACAACAATTTACCTAACTTGCAGCTTTAGATCCTGTAATAAGAACTGATACAACTGGCATCTAATGCATAACATTTGCAACATGAATTGACTCTATATAGGAAGGCCATACATATGATTTTGAAAGTTAAATGATTCTATGGAAGTTACAAGGAAAAATATTAAGAAGAAAAAACGGTTACTTTATTTGGCTTTTTCTGAAATGCAGTCAAATTATTCAAGCATGAACATACTTAAGCGCTGAAGAAACACTTCAAGAAAGCAACATACAAAATGAACAAGAAAGCAAACCATTTTCCATCATGTACAAACATATAATGCTCAAGTCAAAATATAAAAAGACTAACTTTAGATAGCCAGTTCCCAGCTCCATCTTCCTATAATGACATTATATATTAACAATGTAAAACTAGACTATATGAATCCAAAATGTGAGTTTACACAATCAATGTCTAAATCTATCACCTCCTAAAGATTTTTCCCCTGGCAAATACATCCATGTTTATCAATGGTATTCATATTTGGTGTCGACATTATAAAATTATCTTGATTGTCTAATTTCTTGCCAGAGAGAACCATGAAAAGACGAAAAGTTATAAGATCTTTGTACTACCTTTTCAGACACCAAAGTAATATGAGTTAAACTTATTTCCAACATATGAAAAGATGTATAGGTACTCAATGACACCTCCATCAAAACTGTAAAATGGGAAGGGGAAATAAAGAGAAGATCTGAGCAAGCAAACTATATAAAGTTTAATTGAAAGAAAAAGCATTCAAAACATAACAAAATTTGTTCATTTCCCATTTGTTCCTAAAATGCCAAAACAGTTGTGTCCCAAGAGATTTGTCCCCCTTAAAATAATCGCCATGGTGGCTATGAAAATTAGGAATATATAGGATACCTTTGATAGGTTGTGAATCCAGCTTATCGAAATACATATTTATACCCTCTCCAAATAATAAAAAAAAAAAAACACTTCAGGAAGATATGCTGCATACTAACTACTGGATTTGGGGTATCATAATGTACTGAGCATGGATATTCTGGGACTTAAAACACAGAACACTGAAAGAAATGAAGGTATTCAATGACTCTTCCAAAACCAGAAAAAATAGAAGAGAAAATATAGAGAAAATGAAGCATTGAAGGTTGATAGACCAGTCACTAAAGCAGAGCAAAATTAGTATTTTTCTTTTTCTTGTGATAGCACAAAATCAAATTTGTCCAGAAAGATATCCCACAAATAGTTACCACAGTGATTATGCAAACCAGAGTTCCTGTGACAAGTTTCTTAATACATGTCACAGTAGCCTTTGTTCACCAGGATGTTGCAGCAGTTTGAATTCCAGTGCCACTGGTTTAGTTTGGTGAAACAGAGTAACAGTGGCAGTGGTAAAATCTTCCTATGGAACTAGACCATATGATAGGCGTTTCCTCAGTACAACATTTAATGATAATCCATATCACTAAAAAATATTAGTTCACCATAGTAAGAATCGAACCCAGGCATCACACTTAGTAAGGGAGCTCCTCATCCACCAGCCCAACCCCTTGGTCTTGAAATGTTGTTTGTTGGTTGAATATGAAACTTACAATTCAAGCTTCATTAACATTGTTATAACAGCCAACATAATTTTGAGGCATCTCTATGAAGATAACTTGAAAGCAAGTGTTTTTTCATTGCGCTGGTGCCAGTACAAATCTAAGTTAGTGCCCGTTTAAGGTGAACCATCTCTGATAAATCTCCTAGCGCCAACATTACTAGATGTTGAAATAACATGCATTAATTAACTCAATCAAGTGTAACTGCAGCAACATCTCTGAGGTATGCTTTCCTGCAGCTTGCAGGGTTGAACCACATCTAATAGGAATGTCAATCAGATGAATAGAGTCAATAATGGATTCATGGTAGGCCAAACATAGAGACAGTAGTTGATCATTCTGACATAAAAACACTGGTGTTGAGTATTCAAAATCATTTTCGCACCAATGAATTGTCAAAAACAGAAAAAAGAGTTCTCTTTGTCGAACAACAATTTACCAGACTTGCAGCTTTAGATCCTGTAATAAGAACTGATACAACTGGCATCTAATGCATAACATTTGCAACATGAATTGACTCTATATAGGAAGGCCATACATATGATTTTGAAAGTTAAATGATTCTATGGAAGTTACAAGGAAAAATATTAAGAAGAAAAAACGGTTACTTTATTTGGCTTTTTCTGAAATGCAGTCAAATTATTCAAGCATGAACATACTTAAGCGCCAAAGAAACACTTCAAGAAAGCAACGTACAAAATGAACAAGAAAGCAAACCATTTTCCATCATGTACAAACATATAATGCTCAAGTCAAAATATAAAAAGGCTAACTTTAGATAACCAGTTCCCAGCTCCATCTTCCTATAATGACATAATTATATCCACCAATTCTTATAGTTTCTTTAGCAAACCTCAAGATGTATCTCATCAGAAAGAAGTGACTAAGATTCCTATACTATATGCACTGTATACCCATATACACAATCTCATCATGCATGCATTTACGGTGTGAAAAGTAAAAAACTAGAACATGAAAGGACCAAAAACTAATCCGAGTCTGAGGAAGATGATTGATCACTAGTATCGGCTCCACTGCCATCAGTTTCTGAAGAGCCTTCATCCTCATAATCATCAAGCCAGGGGCTCTTGAACACTGCAAGTCGCTTACACTTGTCTTCAAGTTCACCCTCCATCTCCACATTCCAACAACCTTGAATGTCAAGATGGGTAAGTTCCTTGCACTTGGTAAGGATAGAATCAAGCCCATGGTCACCAAAACGCCCAAAACCAAGTTGAAGATGACGGAGGCCTGTCATCGTATCAGCTATGATCATTGCCTCGGAATCATCAATCTTAAAAGTCACCACTTGTGTGGGATTTTCCCATTCTGGTGGGGGCATGTTCCGTTTCAAGTGAATGAGGGACTTGCAATTCTTTCCAAAATATGTAAGGCCTTTGCATGTGATCTTCAAACAATAGCTAATGTCCAAGACAGTGATATTCACAAGTGACCCTGCATGCTTCTCAACCATCTTATCAGTGACCTCGCTCATAGGAATTTGCAGGACCTTGAGATATCTCGCGCTACAAGTTCAAGGAAAAGGGAAAAAAAATATCACGTCGGTTTGATATACTGTTGTATCACCAAACATGTGAGGATGGCAATTGTCAACACATTAACTCATGGAATAACAATGTTAAGCACATGGATGTCACAAGAACATCAACTTTGTGATAGTTTTTGATGTAATAATTTCCCTTGGAGCATTTTCAGAAAGCAAATAAGAATATTGATCTTCAAAGATCAAGAACTCATTGTCCTATTTTATCCCAAAATATTTAACAGCCTGTATATGCAATGATGTCAATTATACATGTAATGGAAAAAGAAAAAGAAAAAAAGAAAAAGAAAAGAACCATACACACGGAGGCTTGGTTATATGTTTTACTTCTTTATGTTGTCATAGTTATAAATGCAAAAATCACTTCAGACAATAGGACAGTGCCACTGAACACTGCTTTAAAAATTAACTGGTTATATCTCGTTAGTTTAATGCCAAAGAGCTCCTGCAACTGAAGGAAGTAACTCGAGCTATGCTACATATTTTGGGTGAAATGGATTGTGAACCACAATGGTGTCATCCTAATAAAAGAAAACCAACTCATTCCAATTGAGTAGAAATGAATCAGCCAATCTAACTCTCAAGCATCACATGTAATACTAGAATGTAAAATAGGTATATAAACTGAAGTGCCATAAGTCACGTACGAATTCATATTTATAAAAGGTTTGAAAGATTCTCCAAGGCTACTTGAATTTTCTCTCAGTCCCCACCAAAACTTATGTATAGAAATGAGTGGCATATTCATATATTTATAAAAAAAATAACATTAAAACCAAAAAAGAACAGAAAATCTTTCCATTCTGCACCATTACCATTGGAACAGAGTGACATTCATCAAATTAACAAACTAAAATAAACTACTGCCATCTTTTCTTGAATGCATATTTCTTTATTACGATCAAAACAATGTTCATACAGCACGAAATTCTCAGGCCAGAGATAAATGAACATGTAGCTGGAACTGGTTTAAAATTCATTCATCACATCCTCCACTTTGTTTCTTATTATCAAAATATACATGCATACATGATTATGAAGCTTTTTTTTCTACCAGCAAAGGAAACGTTGAAACAAAGATGGTTCCTTCCTTTTTTCTAACCAGACCAAAAGAAAACTTTGCTTATAAGAGATTTTTCTTTAATTTTTTAATTTTTTACAGAAAAATCAACAGCCCCAAAATGGAAGAGAAATCTCAGTACATGTAAATAATAGAAGTATCAAGAAAACACAAAAACAGACAACAAGCACGTGTGAAAGTTGTGCATGCACACACATGGCGGCTTACTGAAAATACCAAAATGTATAAGTTCTAAGTCAAGCCAATAACCAAATATACAGTGCAAATTAACCACATTTTAGCTAACTCTGCAGCATTCAAAGCATTCAAAGCAGTTATATTTAAAATTGAAACAAATATATAGGGTGTTTGATTTCACATAGATCCCAACAAATGCAGATCCAAAACTGTCATCAAATCAAACCTAAAATTATCTTCTCTTCAAAAATAAAATGTGTTTGTCCATGTGTATGTATAGATTAATTAGATGTATCAACTGGAAAAATCCCAAAATAAATGGAGAGAAACATAACAAACAGACATACTTACATTCATTAAAGTAACAAATCAAACATAAATCATGCTGGCTTCTTGTGTGTAATTCATATTCCTACATTTCAATCAAAACAAGGTACATGAATTGAAGCAACATAAGATCCTCAGACCAATAAAAAACGAATACTTAATTGGAACTGGTCTAATGTACTTTCATCATCACTTTCCAGACTTGGTTTCTTCCCATCAAACTATTTGTTTATTCGCGAGTAGTGATCATTCTATTGTCAAAGTGAGCATCCAAACCAACATAATTGTACCGTTACTGATTAACACAGCAAAGCGAACTCCAAACACATTCCATTACATAAACTTAGATAAAAAAAAAGGTTTAAGATTTGATAATGAACTAAGATTCTCAGGGCCACACAACAATCATAAGAAAATTGCCAATCGCCTTTCATATTTGTTTCTCACTATAGAAAACAATTATATCTCACAAACCAATCTAAGCAAAAAAAATCAGTGTATATGTCAAAGAAAAGCAAAAACAAAATCACACATATGTAACAAGAGCTTTTTCGATCTTTCTTTTTTTTTTGGGGCGGTAAACTACATTGACACTCCCTGAGATTTGGTCCAATTACATCTCACCCTTGACGTTTTGAAAATTACATTCCTAATCCTACAGTTAATAGTCTCATTTCACAAACCCCTTTTACTTATATAAAGGACAACAACTCTTGGTAAAAAAATAGAAGAAATTACATTGGAATCAAAAAAAAATTAAGCAAAGGAAAGGGAAAAAAAAAAAAAAAAGAGCAAGTAAAACGAATAAAGAAAAGAGAGAGTGCATAAGTTTAATATTTTCAATCTATTTAAATAATTACAATGACAAGGGTCCGTGTAATGATATGTATTAAATTCAAATTTCCGGTGGTGTTTTTTTATGTTTTATTTTGATTTTTTCACGAGTCATACAAAAGATGGCACACTGAATCTATTATATCAAATTTTGATTTCTAAACAATGAACGGAGAATACAGGGCAAATCAACCACATTGGGGGCAACTCATCTAACATTAACACAATCAAAGCAGCAAATGCATCACCATCCCCCACCCACAAAAAAAAAAAAAAAAATCAAACTCACATTCATCTCTTCTCTTGTATAAAAAGCAACGCGTTGTTGCTTAAATGCTCATATTATTATGTTACAACAAAATGAAAGTGGGTTTGCTTGTGAGTGCGTATATGTATACATACCAGTTGGCGATGAAGGAGAAGGCAGAGTCGCTGAGCTTGTAAGCAGAGAGGCGGGTGAAGGTGCATTTGCTGCGACGGACGAGCTTCCTGACAGCGGAGTCGACGAGGTGAGGGGGGCGGTTAGACCTGCGGCACCACTGCTCGATGTCGATGTCGGTCCAGCAGTAGGGGCCAGCCACAGCCTCCAACCAGGACCTGCACACCAGACCCACCGTGTTCACCCTCTCCTCCGCCTCTATCCTCACGAATATCTGAGCCAGCACCTCTGGGTTAAGCCCCTCCCATCTCCCCTCCTCTCCACCTCCACATCCCACCTTCTTCTTGTTACTTCCCATCTCTCTAGATATGAAACGAAGCCAGACAGACCATTTGAGGGGGTGGTTTTCCTTCTGCTTTTGTAGGAGAGCTATCTATTTATTTTTATTTTTTTGGCAAATTACAAAAAAATAAACTTCAATGTTTTGCGTGTTTTACCATTTAAAACCCAAATTTTTAATTTTGACAATTAAAGCCTTGGAGTTTATTTCGTGTCCCAATGTAACATTTGTGTTTTATGAAGTAACGGAGAAAGTCATTTTTAGCCCCAAAACCTACCCAAAACGATACCGTTTTTTATTAGCCCTATATAAAAGGCCCCAAATCTTTGATTTCATCGATTTCGTTAATTTCAACATCATCATCATCTGATCAATAGAAGAACAAATTTTATATGTTTTTATCTGTTGCAATACCAAGCCAAACCAAACTTTAAATAAAAAAACACAAAACATATTTTTGAACAAATTAAAAATAGCTCCATTATCATCATCATCATCATCATCATCATCATTGTCATCGCCATAACCTCAAGAAGAAAAGAGAATAGAGAGCTCTAAATCTATTTTTGAAATATCAAGACCTGTATTCGAAATGTGCAAATCTGAGTTTAGAGAAATCTAAAGAACACATCCTTCTTACAAAGGCTAGGGTTTCGACAACGACCTTCAAATGGCGAATGCTAGGATTTCATCACTCAGATCTAAAATTGAGATAGAGATGGCAGAGTGGAGGACGGCGGTGTTGCTTCGAATGATAAGAGTTAAGAAGAGAGAGAAAGAGATATGAGGAGAATGAGAAATGGAGAGGAAGAGAGAGGGGGTTCGGATCCAAGAGCGGGGGAGTGGCGAACTTCTTTTAACCTTCGCAATCTAAGACAAACCTTTGAACCCTTTGCTTGATCTCTACCGAAGCTTTCATATTAGGGAAGTTGATGATGAGGAACGATCGATTTCAGCGAGGAATGATGTTGGCAAAAAAATTGATGTGCTTAGTGGGGACGTTTCGGACAATGATGGTGGTGGGGTTGCCATAGTTTTATATAGCAAGTTGCAGTGGTGGTATGGGATGGGGTGTGTTCTCCGATGGCTGTGAAATGATTTAGGGGTGGTGGTAGAGCGGTTGGAAAAATGGGTAGTGTTGGAGAATGAATGGCTGAAAGTGAAGTTTGAGAAATAAGGAGGTTTGATCCTCTGTAATACGTTCATGGTAAAAATAACTTTTGTTTTACATTAATTTTGAAATAACAAGTAAGAGAATGACCCGTGTTAAAAAAACAAGTTCTCTGTTAGTTTAGTAGACGGAAATAGACGGAGGGCATAAATTATGACACATAATAAAATTCAGGGTTTAAATTGATGAAATTGAAACCCTAGAGTTTAATTTGAAAAACACGCGAAACCTTAGGGTTTTTTTTTTTTTTTTTTTTTTTGCTCTCCTCTTTTTTTTTTTCCAATTCCGCTATGTAGCTCGAATTGGAGGCCCCAGAATGGCCTGAATGTGTTGGCAGGGCTTCTTCTAGTCTTTCGTCCAGTTGCCCAAACCTGCGTGAAACCACGCGTTTGCACAAAAAAAAAAAAAAAAAGACAAGAAGAGAGGGTAGGATGACAAAATGGGTGAGTGACCTAGCGGAACTGGCCGACTGACCTGGATGCTGCTGCTGACCGACGACCACCGAAATTCTCCCTTTGTTGTTCGCCTTTCGCCATCGACTACTCTGTGTTTCTCTTTAACTCCTTGCATGAGTCAATGTTTCTATTCAACTCCTCATCATCTTCTGTAATATGTGTCTATATATATATGCTTATGAAATATTCGAATATAAGCCCCTTGATTGTCTGCTCTGAAGGTGTTTGATGATTTGCTTATGTTGAAAATGTGGAGTAATGATCTGGAATAGTTAGTGTTTCTATGCATTTTTACTTATATGATGGAAATTTGTGGAAGGAATCTTGAAAATTTTCATGATATACCAAATTTGTGATGATGATATATTATGATTTGGTGATGATATACTATGTGATTTTGATATGTTGTGTCACGCCCCGTATTTTATCACTCGGATAACATTACCAATATTCATTAATTAAGTCCATTTACAAATAACATTTTATCCTTGGTTGAAATGATGAATAATTAAATATACATATTCCCTTTCATTATACAACAATGACATTTACATACAAATAAAAGAAATGTCCTGAGGTTTACAATAAAAGAGAGGACACTACTCTTTATAAAAAATAGCACTCAGCTAAGCAACAAATGAAGTGGTACAATCCATCACTACATTACACTTATGAAATGGTAAAACTCATTGTTTGATCTTCAAATCCGAAAAGCATTCCCTGTACACATGTACAGGTAGGGGGTGAGCAATCACTATCGCACCAAGCAATCTCATATTAAAACATTAGAAGATATGCAGGTACCAAAATACTCATACATATACGTGAAATCATATCATGTCAAAACCATATGATTTTATTTCATTATCTCTTAAATCCAATTTATTTAATTAACCACAACAAGTTAACTTAAATAAATAAACATGTTTCAATAGCAGTATGACATCCTTTTCAATTCATTTAATTATCTCATTATCAATTGAATCAAATAATTAAACAATTCATCAAATCCATTTCATACAGTCTTATGAGATGAATGCATATGCCATGTCATGCTCAAAATATTTTTCTCATCTTTCAAAAATCTTACGCACAATGCCAATTTGAAAACACATTAATCCAACAATTTCAATGAAATTCCAAGATGGTAAATACGACTCAGGTAATCCTTAGGCTGGTGTCTACCAGTAGACTATACAAGAAATACCAATTTGTCATTTTTATCAATATTAACTGGAAGGCTCGACACCTGTAATCAGTCATTTTTACCAGTATTAACTGGAAGGCTTGACACCTATCCGCGCGGTTTTCTGGTCTTTCACCAAGGACACATAGGCCAACTTAATCAAATTCATCTATACCACCTTTCAAATAATGATGGCAATAAAAACCATACCCAATGGTTACCCACGGAGACCCTACTCGAAATACATGGTTTTCCCCTATTTTTTTGTCCATCAGGTCAGTAGGAGACTTAATTTAACTCCCCATCGAGGAATGGGTCGGGCTCATTTCTCCATATGTTTCGACACAGCTAGGGTTTTCTTACACTCTCTCTCGCTCCCACTCTCACTCCAGATCAGAGTTCCGATAAGAGATGTATAGAGAACACACTGGATGAGTTCCGATAAGAGATGTAAGCAGTGGATGAGTTCTAGATTCTCTGTTCCAGCATCGAAAGCAGCTAGAGATCAGAGTTCTCCAGCGATCTCGTTGGCGCTTAACACAGTTCTCCAACGTGGTGAGCTCTCTCTCTCTCTCTCTCTCGTTCTCTCTTGTTCTTCGGTTATTTTTGCTTTGTTTTTGGTCTGATTGAGAAACCCATATGGGCAAATACCTAGTTCATGATTGATTTTTTGGGGTAATTTATTTTTGCATGTTTGTAGATGTACTTATGAACATGTGCTGATAAATTAGCTTGCATGATATCAAGAACATTGTGGGTTTTTCTTCCCTTTTCTCGGCAACCAAACAGGGACCTGGGGTTGTCATCTTTGTGAACATTGTGGGTTGTCAGCAAAAGTCGATACGAAGGTATCCCTAAATTCCCCTCTTTCCCAATTCATATTAGCTGCTGAATTTGAGATCTTCAATGTTCAATTGAGAGCACTGTTACTGTTTTATTAGACATTTCACTGATTTAAAATCAAAGCTCTTCGTCATCATGTCTTCCTCTTTTCACTTTATATATATATACATCTAAGGACAATGCCAACCATCCAGGACATTAGAGGAATTTGAGATTTTTTTCTTTTTGGGTGATTATATTATATGAATAATGGAAAAGATTTCTTGCTTTACATGTTGAAATTTTTAATAGCTGTATGAAAAGAAAATACACCCATTTTAAGTAAATGAACAGGATTTTTCCATCAGAAGATGATGGAGAGTTCATGTTAATGAGGGCTAACCGTGGGGGGTGGTCCTGAATGCATCATTCCTTTTGATCAACCGGGGATGAAAGCCCATGTCAAGAACTCGTCTTCTTGTTGAGTTTTAGGTGATGGAATTTTGGAACTTAGAAATGGCCATTTCCAACAAGAAATATTGTTTGTAGGTTGTTGTAATGGGATTAAAGAAAATTGAGTTTAGTGCTTGTTTCTATCAACCTTTGAAAAGAGGAATTTATGTTTATTTATATTTGATTTCTTGAATTACTTTGAAGAATATTCCAAAATATATGTACACATTTTCGAAGTTCATAATGTTCTTTGGCACAAGTTTCTTTAATGAATTAATTTCTAATGGAGTACTTCATTACCCAGTTAAATCCAAACTCTCGAAAACCTCTTTCAATGTCAAATATGGCCCATCTCGAAATATAACAACCTGAAGACAAGCAGAAGAAAGCTTCAGATTTTTTTTTATTTTTTTTTATGATAAATAGAAGAAAGCTTCAGATTTAAAAGTGAAATTGCTAATCACATCATCTTCACTAAAGAAATTTTTATCATTAGTTAAGCAAGAAAAGATTTGTTTACATTTGATAAGTGTCAAGTTCAACAATTCCTATGTGTCTAGAAACCCAACTTAGAAAACATAACTAGTCCAACGTTCACTGCTCAAACCTTATAATCAGAACAAGCAGGGAAAAAGTGCATTGGGAAGCATAAGCAGACAGATCCAAGCCATTACCTCATCTGGCTGCTTCCTCAACTTTGACTTTATAAACCTCAAAAGATGTTTATGGTTCATGCAAGCTGAGTGATGAACATGTGTGTCAACTTTCCTGACATTATAAAAGTCACGATGCGGTGCACTTTTCTGAGCTAGGAACTCCCTATCCGCATTAAGCATCAAATGAAGATTGAATTTCTGAATGGATGTCCAGATAAGCATTTATTATACATCATACCAGTACTACTCAACATAATAAACTTAGCATACATTTAATTAAAGAAATAAAAGGAAAGAAAGAATGAATAGATC